TTTAAAACGACATAACTCCCCGCGGAGATATGACGTTTTAAAACGACATAACTCCCCGCGGAGATATGACGTTTTAAAACGACATAACTCCCCCCAAAATCAGTGGCTTAAAAAATGTTGTTGACCAAAAAACGATTCGTTTGTAAAGTCAACCTTTTTGATGATTTTTTTGTATATCTCGGCCAAATAATGTCCGATACCATTTTCGACTCGTAACAATCAGAACTATCGATTGGCATAAAAAATATTAATATCTAAATTTTGACCCAAATCGACTAAAAAGCAAGGGGTTATATCGCGATTTATGTCAAAATCGGGGTCGGTTCGAAAATCAAAACTTTTTTGATTCTTTTTTTTTTTTTAACCAACCCCGTAAATTAGAATTTACTCGAAATATTAAAAAAAAAGCATCAAAAAAGGTTTGATTTTCGAACCGACCTGGATTTTGAAAAAAATTGTGATGATTTGGAAGGTAATATCTCCGCGCGGAGATATGACGTTTTAAAACGACATATCTCCGCGCGGAGATATGACGTTTTAAAACGACATAACTCCCCGCGGAGATATGACGTTTTAAAACGACATAACTCCCCGCGGAGATCGGTTTGAAAGTCAGAACTTTTTTGATGATTTTTTTTTTTAACCGACCCCGTAAATTAGAATTTACTCGAAATATTAAAAAAAAGCATCAAAAAAGGTTTGATTTTCGAACCGACCTGGATTTTGAAAAAAATTGTGATGATTTGAAAGGTTATATCTCCGCGCGGAGATATGACGTTTTAAAACGACATAACTCCCCGCGGAGATATGACGTTTTAAAACGACATAACTCCCCGCGGAGATCGGTTCGAAAGTCAGAACTTTTTTGATGATTTTTTCAATATCTCGGGTAAATCTCGTCTAATTTTCAAATGTTATACCTTTATAAATTTGTACGGATCCCTACTATCAATTGGCATTCAAAGAAATTTAAAATCGATGGCCTAAGAAAAGTTGTTGACCAAAAGACGATTCGTTTGTAAAGTCAACCTTTTTTGATGATTTTCTTTGAATATCTCGGCCAAATAATATCCGATTTTGCTATTTTATACCATTTTCTGCTCGTAACGATCAGTACTATCGATTGGCATCAAATATATTAAAATCTTAATTTTGACCCAAATCGACTAATAAGCAAGGGGCTACATTACGTTTTTTGTCAAAATCGTAAATTAGAATTTACCCGAAATATTAAAAAAAAGGCATCAAAAAAGGTTTGATTTTCGAACCGACCTGGATTTTGAAAAAAATTGTGATGATTTGGAAGGTAATATCTCCGCGCGGAGATATGACGTTTTAAAACGACATATCTCCGCGCGGAGATATGACGTTTTAAAACGACATAACTCCCCGCGGAGATCGGTTCGAAAGTCAGAACTTTTTTGATGATTTTTTCAATATCTCGGGTAAATCTCGTCTAATTTTCAAATGTTATACCTTTATAAATTTGTACGGATCCCTACTATCAATTGGCATTCAAAGAAATTTAAAATCGATGGCCTAAGAAAAGTTGTTGACCAAAAGACGATTCGTTTGTAAAGTCAACCTTTTTTGATGATTTTCTTTGAATATCTCGGCCAAATAATATCCGATTTTGCTATTTTATACCATTTTCTGCTCGTAACGATCAGTACTATCGATTGGCATGAAATATATTAAAATCTTATTTTTGACGCAAATCGACTAATAAGCAAGGGGTTATATTGCGATTTATGTCAAAATCGGGGTCGGTTCGAAAATCAAAACTTTTTTGATTCTTTTTTTTTTTAGCCGACCCCGTAAATTAGAATTTACTCGAAATATTAAAAAAAAGCATCAAAAAAGGTTTGATTTTCGAACCGACCTGGATTTTGAAAAAAATTGTGATGATTTGGAAGGTTATATCTCCGCGCGGAGATATGACGTTTTAAAACGACATAACTCCCCGCGGAGATATGACGTTTTAAAACGACATAACTCCCCGCGGAGATCGGTTCGAAAGTCAGAACTTATTTGATGATTTTTTTTTTTAACCGACCCCGTAAATTAGAATTTACTCGAAATATTAAAAAAAAGCATCAAAAAAGGTTTGATTTTCGAACCGACCTGGATTTTGAAAAAAATTGTGATGATTTGGAAGGTTATATCTCCGCGCGGAGATATGACGTTTTAAAACGACATAACTCCCCGCGGAGATATGACGTTTTAAAACGACATAACTCCCCGCGGAGATATGACGTTTTAAAACGACATAACTCCCCCCAAAATCAGTGGCTTAAAAAATGTTGTTGACCAAAAAACGATTCGTTTGTAAAGTCAACCTTTTTGATGATTTTTTTGTATATCTCGGCCAAATAATGTCCGATACCATTTTCGACTCGTAACAATCAGAACTATCGATTGGCATTAAAAATATTTAAATCTAAATTTTGACCCAAATCGACCAAAAAGCAAGGGGCTATATCGCGATTTATGTCAAAATCGGGGTCGGTTCGAAAATCAAAACATTTTTGATGATTTTTTTTTAATATCTCGGGTAAATCTCGTCTAATTTTGAAATGTTATACCTTTTTAAATTGGTACGGATCTCTACTATCAATTGGCATTCAAAGAAAAAAAATCGATCGCATAAAAAAAGTTGTTGACCAAAAAACGATTAGTTTATAAAGTCAACCTTTTTTGATGTTTTATTTTGGATATCTCGGATAAATAATGTCCGATTTTTCAATTTTATTCCAAAATGCAAGGGGTATGTCGTTTTTAGCGCGGCGGAGCTATATCGTTTTAAAACGACATAACTGTTGATAACCGTTAATCATGGCGAGATTATGTCGTTTTGAAACCACACTTCTACGGATCCCTACTAAACAAAAAGGAGGTTGAACTACCCAAAACTTCGTCTTAACGTGCACCATGATCACTTAAGATGATTATAGTAAACAAATTATCAGTTATAGTGAACAAGTTATGTCACGACAAACAGTATTAAATAAAGTGATTGTTTTCGCTTCAATCCGTTAATTGCATAATATTTTTAAACTGCTGCTTAATATAAATGAAGCTTTTAAGCCCGTCTGACTGACGGATAAAGTAGACAAATCCTCGGCTGCATTTAACTGACTTTTATCAATTTCATTTGAGCTGCGCATTCATCTAGCCACAACTGATGCCGACTTCCTTCCGCGCTGGTGACCCACTTGGGGCGGGGCTTTGTTGGCAAGGATATTCAGCATTTAATATGCACGCTGGCTAAATGCCAACTGATTCTTTCTCTCTCTTGTTTTTATTCAGCTCTTTGTGTATAGTTGGGGTTTATTTTATATGTATAAATATAGTTATCCCTCGGTGCTGAAAAAACAGTTGAGTGCACTTTTTGCTTGTTGCATGCATTCAGGCGTTGCCACTGCTGCTGCTTCTGCCACATCTTGTTACTGCTGCTGCATTCGTGTTGAGTACGAAGAGGTCAAAATGTGTTGCCTTTCTCATAAAGTAGCCAAGTGAGTAACAAGCGGCAAAAGGATAAGTAACTCGGTTAGTCCATCAGTCAGTCATTCAATCAGTCAGTAAGTCAGTCAGTCAGTCAGTGACTGCCTTGGATATGCTTGTGCGTGTGCTGCTGATCAGCTTAATAGGCTGGCAGCCGCCTTTTGCCGCTCTGCTGCAGCTGACACAATTTCTCGCCACTTGCCACATTACGCCAGCTGTGGCACTTTCTTGGCGAGTCCTTACATTATGCTTGATGCATGTGGCATGTGGTGTGCAGAAGTGCTCGTCCTCGCTTCACGCCTCGTTGCACACTTGGGAGTGTGCCGCACACATCATCATTTTTGTCTCTGCTTTTTTCGCTTTTCTCTTTTCTCATTGCCTGATTGCATTACTCTGTGGCCAGTTTTGGGGTCGTGTAGCTGGCTCGTTGAATTGATTGAATTTTCATGCTGCCACCGTTTGGCTGCACTTGCCACAATGTGTTGCAAGCTTTAAGCGCAGTTGCGCAGCACGCAAAAACGCTTTTGCGGCTCATGCCTCTAATTATGCACAGCCAGATAATCGAGAGGATGTGAAATGCGTGCTAATTAAAAGGCACAACATTTATCCAATTGCCAGGCTGCACTTCAGCCTGCGCACACAAAGCCAACGGCGGCCGTCATGGCAACCGGCTCCTCCACACGCCGGACTCCAGCTCAATCCTTTGAGCTCGTTTCCTCTCGCTCTCTCCTCGCTCCCCTCTCTCTCTCTCTCTCCCCCTCTGTTACTGGCAAATAAATCGCATATAAACAGCAGATAATCCCGGCAACAGCATTGCAAACGTCATTCATACCTATGGTCCTTGGTCCTTGCTGCTGCTCCAGTTCCTCTTCAACCCTTTCAATCTCTGCAGCCTTCTCCTGCTTTGTCCTGGCAGCTACAGGTGAATGCCTGCTACTGGCTGCCTGTTGGCCATCGTCGCGTCTCAATAGTCACGTTTATCGATTTTGCTCTACTTGCTTAGGTTTGGGGCGTGGCTGCAGTGAACGCCCACCACGGCAGCCGCAATTCTGTGTGCATGTGTGCAGAGGCTGTTTTTGGAGTGCATTCAATTAGAAAAACTGTTTTTCTAATTAGACAAAAATCGAATAATCGCTTCAAATACATTGAAGCTGTGCAAACGACATGTGCACAGCACAGAAATAAACCTGTCAAGAGTTTGTTAAATCGCAGGTGAATCTATTTAAGGATTCAGGATATGTTTTCTATTTAAATGTTGTTTAAGGTCTCGCAAATTTCAAGAACTTGACGAGAACCTTAACGATAAGGTTCGATTCCAATTATGTTAAATGTTTACTACATTCCTTTTGAAAATACCGACACAAAGTTGAACTTATAAATTAAACAAATAACATAAGCATATTTGTTTTAAGATCTCTGATTATGTCACATTTAGTTTAACTTTTCCAATTTCTTAAGCAGCATTTAAAGAAATTTATTTTATTTAATTTTTTTAGTGCTTGAACAAGCTGTGATCAGTACTGCGTCAATGGATTCCAGTCTAAGCACTTGGGAGCATCATTATGCCAACCTGGATCTGGAGAACGGCCTGCCTAACTGGGGTATGTTATATCCAGCTTCAGCATAACGTATCCCTGAAATAAATATCCATTCCATGCGAGGGCTCAGCTGCGTCATGAAGATGAATTCAACGAGGATCATGATAGATTAACTAGATAGGATAGATAGATAGATAGGATAGATCGCTAGATAGATAGATAGGATATAGTCGGGCTAGATATTTGGTTAGCTTTCAGTTAGTTTGTCTTTTTTATCCCTAACTCAAGTTCTTAAAGGCTTTAAATTTATCCATCTTCAGATGCATAATTCTTATTTCTACTAATGTGAATGTTAGGGACCATTGTCAAGTGTCCGAATTTTCTACAAATGCTTGATCGATCAACAATTTGAAAAGATAACCTTATGTTCATTTGATGTTATTTCATTTTTAAATCTAGTTGAAACTTATAGATTTAGAAATGAATTAGCTGAATAATTACATCATAGGGGTTCGATCCATTCATGAAGATGCTTTATGCCCAATTTTGAGGGACTTAAATTGTTTGCAATTAATTGTTTTCACTTACATTTACCTGAGAATTTATAACTCATCCAATTGTCTTCCAAGAACTCAAAAAGGCTTCTTGGTATTAAGCTCCTGGCAACTTTCTATCAGAGTGCAGCAATTCAATTTGCAGCGTTTTCATAATGAGTGATAAACAAATGAAAATGAAAATGAGAGCGTCCTTGGCATGTCACATTCATAGAGCACAACCCCAATACCCATCTTCTGCTCCGTTTTCCAGCTGCGAATGTGTCTCTTCTGAAAAGCTAAGCAAATGCGTGTGAAAATTATGCAAACAGGCAGCACAAGTGAAAAGCATGACCTTTGGCAGCCGCAATGAAAAACAAACTAGGCAAATAGAGTTCATTAGCGAGCATGGAGAATGTTCCGAATGTGTGTCGGTTATATTTATTTAACTCATTTTACTCGTTCTATTTTTTGAAATAAGGCAAACATTTCGAATGGAATTATGTGACGCGACAGTTGGCCAAAATGCAATAGCAAATATTTAATGATGGCCAAATATGTATTGGTTAAGTAGTTCTTGCCAAGTATTCAGATTATCAAGCGCACCAGAACAAATATTAATAGAGTTGAACTCTTAAAATTGCGAGCATGAGAGCGCTTATTTGGCGTCCATACTCCATTATAGACAATCACATCGTCTGCCTTGACTTGGCCGGGCACTTTCTCCGTCATGTGCTCATATTCCCACTCCATGCCTCGTTTGTCTATGTATTTGTAGACGGTCCTTCCGTCACTTTTCACCATGGACTCATCTTTGGCGCATAAGAGGGTCTTTCGAAATATTGTTCATATATAGATGATGATATTGATTGCAGCTGCAATACACTTACCCAAAGGCCGATCAGGTGTATTATAAAAACCAGATATTTGGAGTTCGTCATTTCATAAAAAGTAATCGAGTAAAGGTTGTGGAAATTATAAAATGTAACAGAGGCCAACCAAAAATTCCACTACGAAAGATTGGGCCAAATACCTTGTTCAATTTTGTACAAATAATTAATTTAAAATTTGTCATTTTATAAACGTTTTTTTTTTTTGGAATTTTTGTATTTTAAAAACAAATTTGAAAAACAGGCATTAATTGTCCGGCTAACTGCGATTAACAAACTATTCTGCTCAATACTAATTCAAAACATGTTTGTGTGTATTCAACATTCATATGTTTATTAATTTAACATTTTGGCCATTTAGTCGAAATTGTCGTGTTAACAGTTTTTTCCTTTTGGCTCATTGCCTTTGTTAATGATGTTGCACAATTAATGATGTAATTATTTGTACTTGCTCGCTATTTAAATTCTTTTCATAGCTATTTGTTATTTTAATTAAACTTTCATTGTTTTTCATTGTTTTTTTTTTTGTAGTTTTAATAGATTTATTTTAAAGCATGGTATTTGTATATAATTGTTATTTGCTTTTAGTACCTTGCTTCCAAATGGCAGAAATTGCTGCATACTCTCAGGCAACGGCAAATATAAAATTGATAAAATGGATTCACATTTTTTGTAGCATACTTTTGTGGGCGTTGTTTAATGCTTTCATTGAACATCCTAAGAGTATGTGCACTTTCTCCCCAATGCAAACTAAAATGAAATTAACAAAATTTAAATTTGGATTTAAACCGTTCTCTTATTCGATTGGTAGGACTAATATAGTGTAGGCTATACTTTTAAAGTAAGCTATACTTTTAAAGTTATGTATTAAAATCAAAAGAAAAAATCAATAAATATGCATATATTTGACTCAATATATACTGTTGCATACTTTTACGCTGCTTCCACAGGCTAATCTAGCATATTTCATATACTTTTTATTTGACACAGGACTCGTAAGGATATGCAAGGATACGGCCGAGCTATAGCCTATTTTCTGTACACAAAATTTATCCTTCTATCTAGGCTCCCTCAAGGACTTTCGTCCTTCGTCCTGCAAATTTTGAATGGTTCGGATGAGGACTGTCTGTTGGCGAAAGGACATCAGTATTGTCCTTCAAATAGCCGATTTATGGCCGGTTTTGTGATGCAAACAATTTTAGTAAAATAGCCATATCCTGGCCATATCCTTACAGATTTTCAAAAGATATGTTTCGTTAGGATCGCAAGGATGACCTGCATCGATCTGCATCAAAAAATTATGGGGTCATCTAAGAATCCAGGACTTGTCAAATTTTCAGTCGCGGGCCGCAAGGAAACAGGCCAAAAACACAAAATCGTCGATATCTCTGAAAGTACAAGGACGATTTCGATGTCCTTTGGCCAGTTGGTAGTCCTGGTCCATACAATTCGTTTGACACAGGACTCGCCAGGATACGCAAGGATATGACCGAGTTATACGCTATTTTATGTTCCAAAAATTTACATATTTTCTCTGCTGTTTGAAGGACTTTCGTCCTTTTTGTTGCTAATTCTGAATCTGGACGCCAAGGACATTCTGCTGGCCAAAGGACATCTCGATAGTCCTTAAAATGGCCAAGTTAGCCCTGATTTTTTCGTTTTTTTCCAATTTTCTGACTAACCCCCTTACTAAAATTTGAGGTGATATTTTTGGTGGAATCCTATAAATCCTTGAATGCCAATCGATAGTCCTGCCCTCTACGAGTTTAAAAAAGTATATCCTTTTGATATCCTTAAGGATATGGCCGATATATGGCTATAAATAGAATGTCCTTTTTACAATAATAGCCATATCGCAGAAAGTAAAAGGACGATCTAGATATCCTTTGGCCAGTTTGTAGGTCTGGTCCATACACTTCATTTGACACAGGACTCGTAAGGATATGCAAGGATACGGCCGAGCTATAGCCTATTTTCTGTACACAAAATTTATCCTTCTCTCTAGGCTCCCTCAAGGACTTTCGTCCTTCGTCCTGCAAATTCTGAATGGTTCGGATGAGGACTGTCTGTTGGCGAAAGGACATCAGTATTGTCCTTCAAATAGCCGATTTATGGCCGGTTTTGTGATGCAAACAATTTTAGTAAAATAGCCATATCCTGGCCATATCCTTACAGATTTTCAAAAGATATGTTTCGTTAGGATCGCAAGGATGACCTGCATCGATCTGCATCAAAAAATTATGGGGTCATCTAAGAATCCAGGACTTGTCAAATTTTCAGTCGCGGGCCGCAAGGAAACAGGCCAAAAACACAAAATCGTCGATATCTCTGAAAGTACAAGGACGATTTAGATGTCCTTTGGCCAGTTGGTAGTCCTGGTCCATACAATTCGTTTGACACAGGACTCGCCAGGATACGCAAGGATATGACCGAGTTATACGCTATTTTATGTTCCAAAAATTTACATATTTTCTCTGCTGTTTGAAGGACTTTCGTCCTTTATGTTGCTAATTCTGAATCTGGACGCCAAGGACATTCTGCTGGCCAAAGGACATCTCGATAGTCCTTAAAATGGCCAAGTTAGCCCTGATTTTTTCGTTTTTTTCCAATTTTCTGACTTACCCCCTTACTAAAATTTGAGGTGATATTTTTGGTGGAATCCTATAAATCCTTGAATGCCAATCGATAGTCCTGCCCCCTACGAGTTTAAAAAAGTATATCCTTTTGATATCCTTAAGGATATGGCCGATATATGGCTATAAATAGAATGTCCTTTTTACAATAATAGCCATATCGCAGAAAGTAAAAGGACGATCTAGATATCCTTTGGCCAGTTTGTAGGTCTGGTCCATACCCTTCATTTGACACAGGACTCGTAAGGATATGCAAGGATACGGCCGAGCTATAGCCTATTTTCTGTACACAAAATTTATCCTTCTATCTAGGCTCCCTCAAGGACTTTCGTCCTTCGTCCTGCAAATTCTGAATGGTTCGGATGAGGACTGTCTGTTGGCGAAAGGACATCAGTATTGTCCTTCAAATAGCCGATTTATGGCCGGTTTTGTGATGCAAATAATTTTAGTAAAACAGCCATATCCTGGCCATATCCTTATAGATTTTCAAAAGATATGTTGCGTTAGGATCGTAAGGATGAACTGCATCGATCTGCATCAAAAAATTATGGGGTCATCTAAGAATCCAGGACTTGTCAAATTTTCAGTCGCGGGCCGCAAGGAAACAGGCCAACATCACAAAATCCTCGATATCTCTGAAAGTACAAGGACGATTTCGATGTCCTTTGGCCAGTTGGTAGTCCTGGTCCATACAATTCGTTTGACACAGGACTCGCCAGGATACGCAAGGATATGACCGAGTTATACGCTATTTTATGTTCCAAAAATTTACATATTTTCTCTGCTGTTTGAAGGACTTTCGTCCTTTATGTTGCTAATTCTGAATCTGGACGCCAAGGACATTCTGCTGGCCAAAGGACATCTCGATAGTCCTTAAAATGGCCAAGTTAGCCCTGATTTTTTCGTTTTTTTCCAATTTTCTGACTAACCCCCTTACTAAAATTTGAGGTGATATTTTTGGTGGAATCCTATAAATCCTTGAATGCCAATCGATAGTCCTGCCCCCTACGAGTTTAAAAAAGTATATCCTTTTGATATCCTTAAGGATATGGCCGATATATGGCTATAAATAGAATGTCCTTTTTACAATAATAGCCATATCGCAGAAAGTAAAAGGACGATCTAGATATCCTTTGGCCAGTTTGTAGGTCTGGTCCATACCCTTCATTTGACACAGGACTCGTAAGGATATGCAAGGATACGGCCGAGCTATAGCCTATTTTCTGTACACAAAATTTATCCTTCTATCTAGGCTCCCTCAAGGACTTTCGTCCTTCGTCCTGCAAATTCTGAATGGTTCGGGTGAGGACTGTCTGTTGGCGAAAGGACATCAGTATTGTCCTTCAAATAGCCGATTTATGGCCAGTCTTGTGATGCAAATAATTTTAGTAAAATAGCCATATCCTGGCCATATCCTTACAGATTTTCAAAAGATATGTTTCGTTAGGATCGCAAGGATGACCTGCATCGATCTGCATCAAAAAATTATGGGGTCATCTAAGAATCCAGGACTTGTCAAATTTTGTCGTCAAATATTAAGTCCTGGATTCTTAGATGACCTCATAATTTTTTGATGCAGATCGATGCAGTTCATCCTTACGATCCTAACGCAACATATCTTTTGAAAATCTGTAAGGATATGGCCAGGATATGGCTATTTTACTAAAATTATTTGCATCACAAGACCGGCCATAAATCGGCTATTTGAAGGACAATACTGATGTCCTTTCGCCAACAGACAGTCCTCACCCGAACCATTCAGAATTTGCAGGACGAAGGACGAAAGTCCTTGAGGGAGCCTAGATAGAAGGATAAATTTTGTGTACAGAAAATAGGCTATAGCTCGGCCGTATCCTTGCATATCCTTACGAGTCCTGTGTCAAATGAAGGGTATGGACCAGACCTACAAACTGGCCAAAGGATATCTAGATCGTCCTTTTACTTTCTGCGATATGGCTATTATTGTAAAAAGGACATTCTATTTATAGCCATATATCGGCCATATCCTTAAGGATATCAAAAGGAAGGCCAGCAGAATTTCCTTGGCGTCCAGATTCAGAATTAGCAACAAAAAGGACGAAAGTCCTTCAAACAGCAGAGAAAATATGTAAATTTTTGGAACATAAAATAGCGTATAACTCGGTCATATCCTTGCGTATCCTGGCGAGTCCTGTGTCAAACGAATTGTATGGACCAGGACTACCAACTGGCCAAAGGACATCGAAATCGTCCTTGTACTTTCAGAGATATCGAGGATTTTGTGATGTTGGCCTGTTTCCTTGCGGCCCGCGACTGAAAATTTGACAAGTCCTGGATTCTTAGATGACCCCATAATTTTTTGATGCAGATCGATGGAGTTCATCCTTACGATCTTTACGCAACATATCTTTTGAAAATCTGTAAGGATATGGCCAGGATATGGTTATTTTACTAAAATTATTTGCATCACAAAACCGGCCATAAATCGGCTATTTGAAGGACAATACTGATGTCCT